GCCATGGCTATCACTTGCCTCATTTACCACCTAACCTGGAGACAGCAGCAGGCATTTCAGCCTTGTGCTCTCCCCTTCTTTGCAAGGGGAGCAGAGCTGTGGCTCAAACCCACTTGCTGTGTGGGTTTGTGGTAGAGAAGTCTGCATGTAATGTCTGAACTGAAATCCAGGTTATTCTACAGTTACTGCACCTGGGAGTCCTAACATTTTATTGCTGCTTAGCAAATTAGCCCTCATGACACATCCTACATCATATGAAGCCTTGCTGTACCTATTTAAACAGTCACTTCTCATAGATAATGTAGGTTATAGTAGTTTATAATTTTAAAGAATAGCTATTATTTGAGGACAGATGAGGCAAGATGTGCCTGACAGTAGCTTTTCTCCTTAGTCTAGTGAAAAAAAAAACAAAACATAACAAAAGCCCAAAACTGAAATAATTCAGAATTTTTCAAAACAGAGTAGGTGCTCAAGCACTGTAACAGTTTTCCTGGAATCTCAATGGATTTTCTGCCACCTAACAATGAAGATGAGTCCTGTCTGGTCAAATCTTGACACTGTTGACAGGCAAATTGAGCTAGTCACCTTCTTTTCCATGGACAAGCAATGTAAAGATAGAAGCATACTGGGAACATGGTTTGTGTCTGTTCAAATTGGACAGTGAAAATAGTAAGATGAATTTTAAGTTGAAGGTGTGCATTTTGCCCTGATGACTGCAAAGGCAGTTTTGGCCAACTGACTCATCTGTGAATTTTTGTTCTTGTAGCCACCACAAGTCAGACAAAATTAATTATACTCCAAATTCCTTCTTACTTGTCTTGGGTCCATCAGTAGCAGTCATTATTTCCTTCTTAGTAGCTGGTGCAGTGCTGTGGTTTTGACTTTCAGCCTGGGAACAGGACTGATAACACCAATGGTTTTAGTTGTTGTTCAGTAATGTTTACTCTGACCAAGGACTTTGTGAGTCTCATGCTCTGCCAGGAAGGAGGGGAAGACGGGAAGAAGTAGAGACAGGACACCTGACCCAAACTAGCCAAAGAGGTAGTCCATACCACAGGATGTCATGCCCAGTGTATAAACTGAAAGCAGTTACCCGGAAGGCCCAGGTTGCTGCTAGGGTCAAGCTGGGTATTGGTTGGCAGGTGGTGAGTGGCTGTGTTCTCTTCCCTTATCATTATTATTATTGGTGGCAGCAGCAATGATTTGTGTTATACCTTAGTTACTGGACTGTTCTTATCTCAGCCCGTGGGAGTTACATTCTTTCCATTCTCCTCCGCATCCCTCCGGGAGCAGGGGGAGAAAGCGAGGGGGAGAGTGAGAGAGCGGCTGTGTGGTTCTGAGTTACCGGCTGGGCTTAAACCATGTGTTGGGGTTTAAACCCAGTCAGGTAACTTGTTCACTCACTCCCAGTGAGTGGTGCTGAGCTGACAACAATCGAGGCCCCACCCCCCCCCCCCCCCCCCGGGGCTCTCCCCTTCCCCGCTCCCGGAGGACCGGGGAAGAGAGTCGAAAAAGTGCAACTCCCACGGGTTGAGACAAGAACAGTCCAGCAACCAATGTACAACACAAATCACCACTGCTACCACCAAGGACAACAATGATAAGGGAAAATAACAAGGGAAGAGAATACGATACCACCGGCCAAGAAACGAGTCCCACCCAGAAGCCCGTGTCCTTCCGGGTAACTCCCAGTTACCCCCCACCCCGGGCATGACGTGCTGTGGTATGGAATACCTCCCCGGCTAGCCCGGGTCAGGTGCCCCATCTCTGCTTCCTCATGGCTTCCCCTCCTCCCTGGCAGAGCATGAGTCTCACAAAGTCCTTGGTCAGGGTAAACATCATTTAGCAACAACCGAAAACATCGGCTTCACCAACACTGTTCCCAGGCTGGAAGTCAAAACACTGCACTGCACCAGCTACCACAAAGGAAAAACATGACTGCTACTGCTGAACCCAGGAGACCATGACATAACTTAAGCTTGATGCATGGGCTTAGTATGCAAAGGGTAGTGAAAAGCTGTGATCCTGGTGTCATGCAGTAGCTCAGATTGGGACAGACTGAGCTCAGCCTAGAGGAGGAGCTCTAGTGGAACAGCCATCTGCACAAGGAAGATTCTGAGATTGTAGAAGTCCCAAAAACTTAACAATGCAGCAAGAAAAGTGGACAAGTTAGCACCAGTATGGTCAGAAACAGACAAAACAACAAAAGTCACTCTGGAAGCTCTGACTTTTATTTAATTATCCTCCCGAATTAGGTTGTTCTAGGTAGCAGGGCAGTAAGCATTCATGGAGCAGAAGAAGATGCCAGCAAGGGGTAAGACTGCAAAAAGGGTTTTTAGTACAGTGTCTAGGAAGTGAAATTATGACAGAAACCTGAATTGAAACAAAAGTAAGCAAATTCTTTAGGAAGTGTTGCAACTAAAAAAAGAAAAAAGAGACTCTCCGATCAAAATGTTTTATTTGGCAAATAGAAACAAAAATAATGAATACTTAGAGTCAAACAAAGAATTTCATATAAAACCCTAGGAGTCACGCAGAAAGGTCTTGTTTTGTGGAGAACATGAATTTGTAATGTTGTTATTTATGTCAAGAGGAGCTGTGGCTGGGGTTGCCTTTATATGTGTTCTCTGCTTTTAGAATAATGTTTACTGAACTGAGGAAAAAAACCTAAAACAAACAAAAAGCCCCCAACAAACAAGACAGTTTTACAAGGCAATTCCAGCAATTAGCCTGCAGATCCTCATTTAACCCCTGTTGAACCCTATTGCATACTTTATTCAAAATATTTATATAACATTAGAGGACAGCAGGTTTGACTACAAAGCCTCTGTAGAGCACAAGCATTTATGTAACTTCAGTTTGCTTATCAAAAACATCTTAGCTTGCAGTCACATTACAATGTTACAAACATTGCTGTATTTTTACCTAGGTATTTCCAAGGCTTTATTTTAGATTAAAAGGGTCTTGACTGTTGCACGTTATTTGTCCATACTGCATAGAAAGACACTCCCAGGGACATTTATAGTAATTTGGCAGCTGTGCTCTGCAACATAACTAGATCTCTCAAAAAGCTGAATAATTTTCCCCTGCTAATTTTCTTTGCAGAAGAAATAAAAGTCACAGTGAAAATCATTCTTTATTAAATGATATTCGTAGCAAACTGAAACACAGAAAATGAGACTAAACCAATTTATTATTTTTTTTCCTTGTTGCAAACTGCTTGTTAACATTTGGCCCTCTGCAAATACTGAGGATATATATATGGCTTTTGCTATTCCTCATTTCTTACCAATCTCCCTGGGGTTGAGGCAAAGGAATAACTCTTAGAATGGAGTTATAGAAGGGAATTTCTCCCTTCTATTTCCTTTTGCTGAGAGGGTTATAGTGTGTCCTTCAAGAGGAAATTGAGTTTCTGAACTGAAAAACACACGGTAAAAGGGAAAACTATGTTCTCAAGGAAAATTTTGAGAAGCATTATAAGCACTGAAATCTTACGTTGTTACATGGGAAACAACATCTAGGACTTTATGTGTACTTCTAGAATGTTTCTGAGTTGTAGCTATTGCAGGTAGGGCAAGAAATATGCTTGTTGGGGTCAGACCAGGGGCACCTCTAGCTCTTCCATCTGCTTCACTGCATATATCTGGGAAGGCATGTGAACCTATCTTCTCTGGGGTATTCCCTTCTACTTACAACAGCCATAAGGGTTGGATTAAGGATGCTGGAAGTTACATCCTTCCTTATTCCCTTTCCTGCCTGTTGATGGGCTTGTTGTCCAAATTTGTCCAAACCATTTTAAAGTCTGATAATGTTGCTTGCCTCCTTCCCAGGGCAGCACATTCCAGAAGTTCTCTATCCATTGCTAAAAAAACCCACTTTCTCTTGTCCCCCTCAGGCTGGTCTACTCATTTCCTTTTTGCACAAAGGAACAGCGTACAGTCACTGTCTGGTCACAGTTTTAGGGTTACTCATGATTTCATAAAAAATTGCTGCATCCACTTCAATCACCCCTTTTGGACATGGAAGACTCCAAACTTACTTGGTTGCTCATCATACAAAACTGGCCTGTAACTTCAACCATCTTTGTTGTGCTTCTGTAACCTTTATCACATGTTCTATCTGGTGTGAGAAGCTCTGCGTGGTATGTGTTGTATGGTTTGATTTTGAAGAGCTGTTAATTCATATCACTTAGCTGCTGAACTGAAAATACTATCTTTCTGACACAGCACTACTATAGGAATTCAGATAATATAGTCTTTCAAGATACAGAACAAAACTTCTAGCAGTCTAATTACTTAAAACATCAGTTCATTTAAACTCTTAATTTCACAACATAAGAAAAATGTCTATGAGCTGCTCTTTCACACCATTTTCTGTCAGAAATGTAGTGTTTAATGGACAGGACTATTTTATTAGAAAATTAATTTAACAGTAAATATTCAGCTTAATTATTGTAAATAATTAATAGTTATGCTGTTACACTGACACCTGAAATAATATTTGGCTCATGAGAAAATTTTCTTTTACTGAGGTTTTGAAATTATCAGAACACAAAAAGTGTAACTTCAATATTGAAAAGTTATACTCTTCCCTGTTTCACTGGAAAGCAGGTAGCCAAAGCCAATCTTTTAAAAGTACATTCAGGTTACTTTCGAAAATTCCTTCAGGACTGTAATTTCTACGGCTACTCAAGATACAAGTTCAATTGAAGTGAGATTGTTTCTTACAGGTAAGCTGGAAGTAATGCTGCTTTCACAGAAAAAGGGTGAAGAGTACTTTACTGAAGCTTGTGCGGTTAAGGAAATTACAGCAGTACTTCAAAGCAGCCCTGAGGTTCATACTATTATTTTAGCACATTAAGCAGCTGTGTCTTGAGTCAATTTAATCAGTGAATTGTATGTTCCTTAGTTTGATCATGACCTAAACTCTTTTAATTAATTAACCCAGTTCTTCAAAGCAGTGGAAATGAGTCATATTTCAACTGAAATAATTGTTATTACCTGATAGGTCCCATTAGAAAAACTCCTAATTTCAGGTAGGACAGGCAAACCAAGGACCTCTTCTTTTTTTGCACACAATTTGAATCTTTGCACCCCACTGTAGATGTGTTCTATTGGGAGACAGCTGCTCTCACCCCATTTGGTCAGGTTAGATATATGGTACTCTGCTTCTTATATTCACTGCCTTTTTCTCTTCCTTACATTTATCAGCCTCCCAAAACACCAATAGGGGGGAAATGAGAACTTCACATCTGCTGGGTTTTCTGGCCTTCCTTTGTGATAATAATACCCATTTTCTACAATCAAACAGTATTTCTCCTTTTTTAAAGTAAAATTTATTTTTTTTGCCTATGTTCACATTGACAAATAGCTCAGGACGGTAGGACTGAATCTGTGAATTCAGGCATTAATGTTGAGGCCTTGACATCTACTCCATCATGGGGTATGATGGACCTACTTCGGCCAATTCCCAAAGGTCCTGATCCTGATCCCCTATCCCACATATGGCTTAGACCTGAGACCAGTCTTTTTTTCTGACTCATGTTTCTGAACAGAAGCTCAGCTGATGCCTACCTGGAGCAAAAGCACCGGTCTAGTTTGTGTAGACCAAAAACGGTTTGAGGACTGAACCATCACACCCTTTTATAATCATGGTCAGATTTGCCCTGGAAAGGCTACACTGCTCTAGACCACAAAACAAATGTAGACTTGGCCTTTCTCTCCTTGCAGGTGCCTTCTACATACCTTTGCAGTGCTTCTGATCCGATGCTCTTTGCTTCTATCCTCACCAGCCCACACTGCCATATTTATCCAGACACATCTCTGACATGGTTCCAATGAGAATGCTGGGATTGGATTTCTGGAAACAGATAAGATCAGCATTCCCCTACTCTGATTAAAAAAGGGTTGAAAACACAACCCCAAATTATAACAAAGTGGAAAATGAGAGGAATGATTCACTTAACAACCCAGCAATGAAAGTAGTGACTCAGGTGAGAGAGAACAATGACAGTTTGTCCGCACTTCACCAGTATTGGTATGAGCTGGTATTTGCTCTTTTAACTATGGCAGTACTGCTGTTTTCCAACCCCATATTCAATCAATGTTTTTGGCTTAATTCTCAGCTGGGACCCACTTTTCCCTCCCCAACCCCCTCTTCTTTTCAATGGCGTGCATTTAGCTAATAAAAGAGAGCCACCTACGCTGAGCTGTTTATTGTTGCCTGTTCCCTGCATGGTTGGGGTGGTGGTGAGCAGGGTACAGGTGATTGAGTGTTAATTAGACCTTTCCCACGCAGCAGGTTTCCCAAGTGCTGTAGTTACAAGTGGCACTCTCAAATAAAAGCCCAGACTGGGGATGCAGCTACAAAATACTGACAAAACAGCAATCCTTTAACCCTGTCTTTTTTGCTTTTCTCTTCTGAGAGCATCCCCACACTAGCACCATCTCTCCTGGTAGTAGTACTGCTCTAACAGAGCTCCCCCATGCTGGGCTGTCAATGTGCCCTCTTTCCCTGGTCCCTCCACAACGGTTCCCAGCTTCTGACTTTTCTTTTTATCTTCCTTCCTTGCATTCATTTCTTGGATAAAAATAAGATATGCTGTTCCTGAGTCTGTTTTCATACGCTGGACTAAGTGACTGTCATTAGCACATTTGGATGGGACACTCTGACCACATTACAAAACCAATCAGCTCTTCCCATTCATTGAGCATGAGGAAAAATAAGGCAAAAGCTTTTTCCAAGAAGCCTGAGATATACTTAGAAAAGCTTCTGACAGCCCAGATTCTGGCTTTCACAAGGAAACAAGTTTCTCTAGCTGGCCAGTTTGACCAGATGAGTGTGTTTTCGCACCCAACTAATACTGCTCATGGAAGACCTTACAAAGCTAGACGAGCTCCACTGCCCGGATTTGAAGATAGGAGTTTTCCTTTTCCTGTGAGGAAGGCCTGTCTTTGTTAATAAAAATTCAGGAAGGGCTTTAACCCACACATTCTGAACAAGACTGTCACCGTCCTAGCTAGCTAGACCGTGGCAGTTAAACCTCAGGTGTAAAAGGTGGGGCCAGTTCTGCGCAAGCTGCACCTCACCTAAAAAATCCACTGCACAGGCTGGAAGGGCTCACTCTCACTTGTCTGTATGGACAGGCAAAGGGCCAAACGGTAGATGACAAGGTGCATGGGAAGCTGCAGATCCAACCTTGCATGAGGGTGGACCAGGGCATGGGTAGCTCGAGATTGCTCAGGAGATGACAGTCCTGGTCGAACACTACCTGACTGCCTAAGCACCCTTGTTTTCCAACCAGATTTGCCCTTGGTCATCGTGCTTGTGTGGTTAAAGTCCTTCCCAAATCTTTGCTCGTGAAGCCAAGCCATCATCATCATCATCATCACCAATAATGCTCATAAATCCCTAAGTCAAACCTTCAAAGAATCCAAAACAGACTTTGCTGCTGTTGGCAGCTTCTGACCTAACTGGATGGTAGCAAGAAGACTGGGATTGGTTCAGATGATTTTTTATTTTTTTTTTCCTCTGTGCAATGGTATTTGCTTTACCTACACCATGACAAGAAAAAGCACGATTCTTTGGTGACATTTCCCATGCTGCCACTGCTGGCTTTGTTTGCCTTGTTTTCTGTAAGAGGAGATCCCCAAAGGACCTTTCTTACCATGAAAAGAATAGGTGTAGGTGATGGTTTTGACAGTTCAATGGTTAGTATGAGTGAAATCCTTAATCCTACCTTTCAGGATTTAGTAAAATCTTTCATTTATGTGTAACGCTTTGTAGAGTGCCACAGACTGTTCTTCCCATCACACATACTGATAGTGAAATTAAAGGTAAAATGTATGCCTTGATCCAATATCATATATTAGGATCTGATTATCTGAGCTTCAGTGGTCAGAAAACCACAGTGGCTCAAGGATACTGGTATCTCCAAGAATTTTGTTTTTGCAGTCCCTTCGCGCTAATCTCTGTGTTCTCGATGGAGACCTGTTACAAAGAAAGGATCTTTAGGATAAGGTATATGGACCTGTCAGTCACTAGCTACTTGCCTAGACAACATATCATAGATCTTTAGATCTCCTAAAACAACAGACAAAGACTATTTTTCTTCTCCAGATACACTAACTTATTTTGTGTAGTAGCTTTAACACCTTTTCCTGGAACACATAGGGCATGGAAGTGTGAATAGTTAATTTACTTTGCATTTGCTTACTCCTTGATGAATGAAACCTGGGTGTAACAGATGAGATGTGTTGAGAAGAACCTGACCTTTAAATTTGGCCTGGGAGTAGGGCCTGTTCTCCTAAAATGAATGAAGCCAGATGGTAATGATGAAGAGCAAGATTCTCCTGCCTTTACACAGCCTTCTGCTTAGTCCAGACTCATGGCTTTTGTGTGTTAAACATGACCACGTATCCCACCCCTACCACAAGTGTAAGCATCTTGGAAACACAGCAGGGAGCTTCCTAATGGTTTTATTGTTTTTAGTTTCCTCTCACTTTATCTGTCAGTGATCAGAGTCCTCCATGAGAAGAATAGGAGAGGAGAGACAATGTGGTGGGTTGACCTTGGCTGGCCATCAGATGCCCATCAAGCCATTCTATCACCCCCACTCCTCAACAGGACAGGGGGGAGAAAATCAGATTAAAATCTCATGGGTCAAGATAAAGGCAGTTTAATGATAAAAAGAAAAGGTCACACAGAAGGAAAGCAAGAAAACAATATTTACTCTCTACCTCCCACCTACCAGCAGGTGATGCCTAGCCACTTCCTGGGAAGCAGGGCCTCAGTACACAGCGGCTGGTTCAGAAGACAGCACCTTAATAAGAAATACTCTCCCCTCCTCCACCTTTCCACCCCCCTTTAGCTGTTATTGTAGCATACGGTCTGAACTATCCCTTTGGTTGTTCTGGGTCAGCTGTGCCCCCTCTCACCCTCTTGCCCACCCACTCCCCACCTAATGGCCTTTGGGGACAAGAGGGGTTGGAGAGACAGCTTTGATTTGTACAAGATGTTCAGCAGCAGAACACTGGTATTTATCAATATTGTCTTAGCTATCAATACAAAGCACAGCAGGCAGAAAAACTAACTCCATCCCAGACAGATCTGGTACATACAGCAAAACACTGGTATGTTATCAATATTGTCTTAGCTATCAATACAAAGCACAGCAGGCAGAAAAACTAACTCCGTCCCAGACAGATCTGGTACATACAGCAAAACATCAAGCTTGTCTCTACCTGTTTACCAGTTGTGGACAGGGCGGCTCAGTGAATCCCTTTGTCCCCACCAGCCACCCCTTCCTGCCCACCACAGCAGAAAAGCAGAAACATTGAGGAACCAGCTTCACCCAAGAGGTCTACAAATCTGTGCAGCTCAAAACCCAGAGAACAAAAAAGTATTCAGGATGCCCCATGCTGCTTTATTCCCTGTTCTCTGGAAGGAAAGGGAGCACTCTGGAGCAGGCTGCCCAGGGAGGTTGTGGAGTCTCCTTCCCTGGAGACATTCAAAGCCCGCCTCGACACATTCCTGTGTAACATTATCTAGGTGTTCCTGCTCCGGCAGGGGGATTGGACTAGATGATCTTTTGAGGTCCCTTCCAATCTCTAGCGTACTGTGATACTGTGATACTCTGGGTTCTGAAGCCATTCCTGATACCTGGTATGAGGCAGGGTACTCCCAGACCTTCCCTTGTGGATGAGATTGGTGCCCATGGTGCCATATGGCAAGAGAGTGAGCAAGAAATGCAAACAACAGAAATGCTACCCTACCCTCTCCTGTTTTGCAGGAGCCACACCAAATCTGTCTTCCATTTGGCAAATGCCCCTCCTGAACCCAGTCGAGCCTTGATTGTCTGAAACTACTAGATTTCTTTTTCAAGTCATTCCCTTCTACTCATCATTGAAAGATTACTTTAAATTATATTGTTTCCACATGTTTGAATATATATTCTTTTAAAAAGCACAAGAAATAACTCTATTACAGTTCCCAGACTGCATCATGATTTCTCTTTATTGCTATTTAACTTTCAAATAAGTCTTCCTGGAAGAGAGAATAGTCTTGGTGTTGCAGAAACAGATCCTGGCTGAATGCATCATAATCACAAATGCTTTTTCATGTAAAGGGAATATATATCATCTTGATGGATCTCTGATTTCAACTAGAAAAGAAAAACAGATAGTCTCATCCCAAGCTGTGTTCAAAGACGA